AAGCCTCACACTGAGAAAATCAGTTGAGCTGGGGAAACAACAAAAGCATCTGAGAATACACAAATTAGTGCTATTATCTTGATGTAATTYCCATGCAGCCCTGTGTTTATTTAAATTCTCTGAATTGATGTAAAATATTTACCATAATAGTGTAGTTTAGGATTTCTTTTGTTTCTTTAAATTGGCACCAAACAGAATTAGATCTCGGAATTAATAGAATAGAAAGCATACTATGCTTGTTCCTTTTTATAGCAACAATCCAAAGAGTTATAAGTCAGTTTATTATTTAAACAATATACTAAATTCACATTTTACACACATACAGTTCATTGCATAAGTATTTGTGAACATCGACTCATTTATAAAAACCTGTTTAACAGTGACATAGACCTATTAGTTTGATGATAAGTGATGCAACAGGACTATGACCCTGACCCCGATTCCTTTTAAGCTAAATAAATGAAAGGAGAATCTGAAAACCTTTTATTGGAAATACTGAATTAGGAACAGGTGTTTGAATTTGAGGAGAATGATTTGATGAAAGCTTTTTGAGTTTCTGACATTAGAACTAATCCTTTTTAAAAACTACTAAGAAATTGTGACTCATTTGTGACTCATTGTATGCAGTATTTGGAGTGTGTTTGCTGACTAATTTTACACTGGGATCTCTTTTGGTAAAAACCTGAAGCAAAAGTGATAAATATTACTCAAGAAAGAAAATAATTTAAAAAAATTATTTAGAGCATAATACAGTATGTGGTGACACATGAGCTCGCTTTGTGTTCTGGTTTCTATGCATAAAATAGGAGATATATATTTCTGTCAAAAAGTTTAAAAAAATCCACCCTAAAATGTATTATGAAGGAACAAATAAGCTTATTCTGCACTTTAGCACAGTTTGGACTGTATGGTTTAAAACCCATTTTAGTTTTTTTTTTTTTTATTTTTTTTTTATGGTGGATTAGTGACAGAGTTTAAAACAATGTGAGAGACATATGTTCTTAATTACATTAATACTGTGGTCCTGGATTTACATGAACATTTGTGTAGTATTTTCTCATTCTCGTGTTCTACCTCATCTGTAACTGTGTCTTCGAATCTGCCTCTAAAAGTATTTATCTTTTAATTGTTGGTTAATGTTAAGAGTAATTATTTTTCCCTTTTAAATCTTGGGATCTATTAGCATTGAACTTCTTAATGCCCCCCACTGTTCCTCCACCTCATTAAAGACATGTGAGAAAGCCTCTGCGACTTTGAAGTGTGCAGTGGACAACAATAAACTGGCCTTTTTTTTGCTTTTAATCTCAGTTTTCCCTTTTAAACAGCAGAGATAGACACACGCTGTGTTTATGTATCCTTGCGGACACAAGGTTAAAGGTAGGATGTCCAGGCACAGATAATGCGTGTGTAGTGAGGTTAGAGTTTAAGGCCAGGTCACAAACAGGAAGAGAACAAGGGGTCAAAGGCAGATAAACAGAACCAGATCCAAGTGATCATTAAAGGTTTCAAAAACAAGTGTGGTACAATGTTAGTTCTGCTGACAATGATGCACAAAGTTTTTTTTTTCATTTCTCAGATCTCAAATTCCACATCAGTGCTGCATTCAGTAAGAAATAACAATGTCATGACATTGTGGCTATTAAAAGGCGTTTAATGATGTTTAACATTTAAATTAAAATGTTCTGGATAAAACATGCCCCATTTTTTTTTCATCTGTGAAGCTGTGCTTTCTCCTGTCTGTTTATGAAGATAAAGTTCACCCTGACCTTTCAGCCTGGATTTATCCTCTTGATGTGTGTATATCAGTGTGCATGAGGTCCTGCACACAATCACCTCAGGGTGTATGTGTATTGCATGCTGCAAGACAGTCATAAGAGTTTGTATCTTAAAATCTTTTAAAAAATACCCAAACTTTCATTTTTACATTGTGAGGTTGCAAGGCTTCAGACAGAATTGTGAATTTAGTTTTAAAAAAATCACTTAAAGATACTGTATGTTCAAGTTGAATGCGACAGAACTGAAACAAATTAGAAAAATGTGATCCGCGTTTTTATTTTTATTGTTAAAGAGCTATAAACTCGGACAAACTAGTTATCAGTTAATTTATATGCTGAGTTAAAAAATCTGGAGCTGTGTTTCCAAATTTCAACTAAATCAGTTAATCCAATCCTGGGATTGAATTAATGCCAAGATGATTTCAGAGATGAAGGGAGGGACTGAAGGAAAACAAAGATGCTGAGTGAAAAACACACAAAGCCTTGAGCTCTAATTTTTGATAAGCCTCTAACACTTCAATCTGCTATCTTAAAACAAGTGACATTGTAATCCTGCGGGACAAAGACTAAATCTCTCCCCCTCTCTTTTAAGCATGACGAGAAACGGATAAAAAAAGAGAGGTGGCGATTCAAAAAAAAAACTTAATTGAATTCCATGCTGCCTTGCTCCAAAAGCAACTACCGTAAACCTTTGTGCCCGCACACTTCTGAAAGATTCAGACTTTCATTCAAAAAGCCCTTGAAAGTGCACACATATTGTGCCAGCAGCAGTCTCCGGTTGCAGTCCTTGTGGTTTTATTGTTCGAGCTGTTTACAATGTTCACCGTGTGATCACTCACATCATCAATATGAGGCCTAACTATGAGGCTCTCGCTCGCCTTTCTCCCTGAAGCTAAACAGAAGGACTTTGATAGCAGTAGGGTCTCCAATAAAGTTTAGTGCTTTCCATGCTAACAGCACAGTGACTCCATCCCTCAACACTGCTCATCTTGTAGCTAAAAGTCTGTTACATACAGACTGGAAGCTTGTGTAGAGAACTAATTAAGTCAGAGCTGTTATATATTAAGATGGCCTGGGCACGTTTAAGAGGCAGTGGTAATGGAACAAGAGTGGCAGGAAATACTTCACTAATTTGGCCCTGACTCTCTTATCTGCTCGCCTTGACACTTCATCGCCACTCTGGATATTTGGAGGAACTCGGTCAAAGAGAGAGAGAGAAAAAAGGACATGCTCTGTTTTAAATAACTTGTTGGATAAACAATGTTCCACAAGGTAAAACTTGGGTGGTATCCCTGCTGTAGAGTCAGGGGAGGCTGATGGGCAGCAGAGCAGATGGTCTGAACACGAGATTCTTTTAGTTAATTGTGGATGTGCTCTTTTTTTTTTAATCCTACAAGATCCGAGGCGCATTTTGTCAGGGGAAAAGCTGGATAACTGGGCTCTGTAAGAAAAGGAACTTTGCTTGTACCTCTGTTCAAGTGTTTGAAAGTGCATTCCAATACACACTCAAATCTCCGAGCTCTTTTTAAACTATGCATCAAGAGGAATTTTCAGGTATCATTTGCTTGTAAATTTGTGATAAAATCAAGAGTCTCTTAACATGAGACTTTTAAGGGCTGTGCCCTGATGCTCATTGAACATAAGTAAAGGGTTCTCCATGAGTATTTCCAGTTCCTCAGAAGTGTACTTCTTTTAGGAGTGTTTTTCGCACAAAGTACAACACTTTGAGCTTGTCTTTAGTCGACTGCAATATGAAATATTTTTCTAGGAGACTTTTTATTAAGTAAAAAGTTACTGACTTCAACAGTGTGTTTAAAATGATGACCTTCTATTTGAAGAGACAACTGATGCCCTGATAGCAAATCTGGTTTTAAAGTAAACAGCTTTTTCAGCTACAGTTTCCAAGCTAGCAGTTTTTTTTTCTGACTCAGAATATCACAAGACCTAACTGCTTTTACTGTGTATAACGCAAAAAAAAAAAACTTCTTTACAAAATATAACATTAACTCATTAAAAAAACAAAAGGTTCAAACTCCTCTGTAAATGCTGGAACAGCAAGATGCTCAGTGAGACACTTTGACATTGTTGCTGTAAGAACGTTTTGCTGCAAATCAATGTTTAATGAAAGTAGAGAACAAGGAGAGTTGACTGTTAGAAGAACAAGCGCAGGAGAAGGAGGTGAACAGAGAAAGATGTGCCTGACACCAAACGCACCCAGTGGGATAACATTAGCTTCATGACAAGGTAGCCAAGTTCCCAGCCTTGACCAGTGCAAGTGACCAACCACAGTTTGAACACATCCAGCTACACTCACTGCTTGGGTGGTCCTTCATAGCATCTCTGTGTTCTGTGCCATAGTGCATACAAATAAACAAGGCTAGCATGCAAGTACCTGGCATATTTTTTTTTTTTTTGTTTTCAGCAGGTTAAGTAAAGCGGAAAAAAATGCTGAAACAGTGCCAGACATACTGCATGATGACAATGCAACTTTCAGCAAGTTTTCTATTGTGAGAATGACCCTCACCCTTCAGGGATGGACGGATTTCAGAGTTATTTCACAATATCTGTAACGTCCTCCACCTTCAGGGTCTCCTCCATGTGCAGGACTTGCCCCTCACACACACACATTTGTTCATTTAGATATTAATTATTCACTAACATATTTTACAACACCTTTGATTACAACCAGCTGACATTTGATGAGAATGAGGAGTGACATTAGCTGCGTTTCCATTGCAAATGTGCGCAAAACTTTGTCAATATTCTGTTAATGTCAAAAAACACAGTTTTGCAACTGCAGTGTTTCCATGAAGTAAGAAATGCTGTTAAAGTCACGCGTGAATACGTTTGTTCTCGTGATAAGTCATTACAAACATGGCGGCAATGGATGTAAACACATAGCATGTTGCTACAGCGACACTAGCGCTCATCATCAGAGGAGACGTCGGCGTCTTTTATCGAGGCTTTCCAGCGACAAGCCCCTACTTGGGGAACGGCTACGTATGCTGTGTTTTTGGGAAATTGTAGTCGGTGAGTTTATTACTTAATTTTACTACTTCTGTGATATTACTACTACTTCTACTTCCTGTTATCTTCTTTGTTGTCATCTTTTTCGCCAGTAGAAACAGATGGTTGTTGATCACATGACTCCCGTAATGCGAAAAAATTGTTTCCATTGCAGTTTTGCGAAAAACACCAATTTCGATACGGCCGAAAAACCACCTCTTTCTAGCGCTAAAACATTTTGTCGAAAAATGTGTTTTTTTCGAAATCACGTGTTTCCATTGGGCAAATTTATTTTCGAAATTCTAATTTGCGCATTTTCATGGTCAATGGAAACGCAGCTACTGTGACACAAAATTAGAAATACAAAATGCAGGAAAAGAAAAGAAAAAAGAAAAATATGTATCTTATGATGGCATCAGTACTCTATGAGAGCCCAGAATGGATGGACTGACCTGGATCTGCTGCTGGAGGAGGTTGATTTTGTGCTGCTGCTGCAAAAGCTGCTGCTGTTGTCTTGCAATCTGGTTTAAAAAAACAAAGGCAAAGAGAAACATTAAGACTATTTTACATATTAGAATTCATGCTAAACTGAAGCAAGTTTGTGTAAAACATTATTGCCATATTGATATGAACCACAGTTTTGAGGGGAAAAAAGCTGATTTCGACAGTGATGAACCATTAGCTGTTCTTTCTGAACACCATGTGACTTGTGCAGAAATAAGAACTTGTGGCAGAGCAGACTAAATGATTCACAGGACAATGTATGTGGTTTTGATGGAGATCTCTGGTACCGGCGGCGTGTGACTGACAGAGGTCCCCGCTGCCCCTGAGTGACGCCCAGCCTCACCGCAATTTTTCCTCAACCCGCCTCTGCCTCCTTCGACATGCTCACTTCATTGAGCATGACAACCGAGTTTTAAGTGTCATTTAATTTTCAATTTTAAATATAATTACAAAGTGTTCACTGTAAGATATCTGCCGTCTGCAAATGTGTCAAGATTAATTTGTGCTGGCTTCCTCACGAGTGTCAACAGTTAATTACTGTGTTGTATCTTGATGGCTTGGTGACATTCTGGCTCTCAGCGGGCTTCCCCCCCTCCCTCTCCTCCGACTCCCCCACCACCCCAATTTTAATAATATTCTTCCATTTTAAAATAAGATCAAATTTCTTATATCGCTGCGCAATCATGCTGATATGTCCACAAAATCTTAAGAGTAGTGTGTGTAGTTTGCAAATGAACATCATTGATTGAGAAAGAAATCAATACTCTTAATGTATTATTAGTGTACTATGACCAAATGTATCATTCCAAGGAATATGGTCTATTTCTTCTTTTACAACAGGAAGGTCTGAGAGTGGGCTGTGAAAACTCTGAGTGAACTCCTTGCTGATAATTGACTCATAGCCATTAGAGTGGCTGTTGATAATAAAAGTGTCGCCCGTGTGGATAGTTTGCGTCCTTATTTCTTCCCAGACATTAACACACTTCATGGCCTGTGCTAATTTGCTGATTTGTACAATATGGCTCATTGGCCTGATTTGTGCTGCAAATCTAATGTCTAGCTTGTTATAATAGGAGCCAATTTATAAGATATAGAAGACTTCACATGTTTAATATAATGTTTAATTCACACATTGGCTCACATTTGTTGGTACAAGTCATAATAGCGTTTTTCCTACCACGCAGCATAAACGCGGCTGAGCGAGCATGACTGAAATATCTGAGGCAACACAGAGTGTAGAGATCTCTTAAATATATTATTATTAGAGCTCTGAGATTTTATTAGCATACCTCAGGCATGAAATACAACAGCTGAGTGACAACTCGCTACAAATGGATTTAATAGCGTTTATTATTGAGAGGAGAAAGGTAATAAAGTGAAGAAAAAAAAGGAGGAACAGTAATACGGAGGATAAAACAGTGAGGGAAGACGGTGAATGGTTACCTGCTCCTGCTGTTGTCGGGCCAACTCCATTTGCTGCCTCTGTTTTTCCATCTGTGAAGCTGCAAGCTTCTTCTGCTCATCATGGGCAGCCAGAAGCTGTTCGCGCAGGCTGATCAGCTGGGTGATCATTGTGGAGAGCTGGTGTTCCTTTTCTGCCAGGCCCTCTGGAGTACCTGATGTTTGATAGAAGAAATCAAAGTCAGAGGTGAAAAGAATGAACACGGCCATAAAAAAACAACATATGAGTTCTGAATGCCCAACAGAAAAAAAGTAAAAGGATTTCATTGTGTCTATGATTTACTAACCAGGCTTTTTGGACGAAAGCTGCAGAAGGGTCTTGAGTTTGTATGCAGCTAAAATTAGAAAAGTGACCATGCTGTACACACCAATCATCACATTGTGCCATTGTAGTGTACACAATATTTAATACAAAGAAAAGCACACGGGAAGAAACCAACTGCGGAGAATTCACTGGAAAGTGTTAAGGTCACACACAGCCTGGAGTTGACGATTTTTGCTGTAGCTGGTGTTCACAGCTTTCAGAGGAAGAAAGAGACGGGATTGTTTCCGGCACACAGACAAAGAGCTGCAGGGAGCTGTCAAACTGAGGTGGCAGCTTGTGTCAGACTTCCAGGGGTTATTATCGAGAAGGTGTTAAGAGTCACTGTTTTCACTGGGCTCTAAGCTGTACGGGTTATAGATATGGCAATCACAACATCAACACACTGGACGTTTTTTGCAGAATAGATCAAATTGAGATGACAAAATATTTTTTTTTTTACCAAAAAAAAAGAGAGATGACAAAATAAAGATTCTTGTGCACCAGGTAGTACATGTGCTTTAAAGTCAGTATGGCAAACATCCAGAGAAATTCTGGTCAACACACTCAGATCTTTGCATGTGCAAAGAAAAGTAACGAGGGGCCAATGGGCTTTTTTTTTAACTCTACAGCCTCATAACCACTGTGTGTGTGACAGAGAGAGCAGCTCTGCTGCACTGTTCTCTCCCTCTCTCTCTCTCTACGCCTAATCAATGCTAAGTGATCCTACCATTGACTTACACAGCCAACATAATTGCCCATGAGAGGCTAGACAGTAACTCAATCTCTTCCTACTGCACTCCGGTGTGACAAGCTGATCCTGGGGAACACAGAAAAACTGATAAGGACACTGATGGAACAGACAGTCGGACAGAAGGAGAAAGATAATAGCACTGAGATCCAGATAATAGTATGGTAAAGCATGGCCCGGGGCCAGCGGAAACTGAATTCTTTCCTGGGTGTCTTCCTCTCGTTTCTGTCCACATCTGTCTTGAGTTTCTCCGAGAGCTCCCAGGGGCCCTCTTTACTCAAACTATTTTAATTTGACTAAACACCTGATTTATTCTATCTCTCCGATGAGGAAAGCCGTTTGTCTTAATAAGGCTTGTCAACCTCCAGAGCCCATTCAGGGCAATTTACTGGCAGGATTGTCTGAACTTCAGTTTGCCCTGCGCTGCCTGCTGCAATAGAAGAGAGCTGTAATTCTCCATTTATCCTTCTAACAACAAAAAGAACCTAAAAAGCATCTATTCATTCGGCCTGTGGGCAGTCTCCAAGGCCTGAATTGACTTCTTATTCACCCGATTACACTTGTTGTGAATGGCTTATCTGTAAAATTGATACAATCAGCACCAATTTTATTAACCTTTGGCTGTTTCTATGATGGAGCTGCCTTTTACAGGTAACCAACCAGAGACTGTGGGTGATGTCACAATAAATCACAGCTATCAATACTGCTGCTGGAAGGAGGGAACAGGCCCATGCACTAAAAAAAAGACAGTGGAAGAGGTAAAAAGGCAGGAGGAAAAGAACGAGCCAGGTCAGAAGGGACTGTGAGGTGAAAAAACAAAACCGGACTTCCATTCTGTTTACATATTTCTGAAATCATGCACTTGTTTACAACATTACATTACAACAAAAAGGTTACAAAATGATACATATATAAGAAAAGTAGAGTTCTGTGCACTGTGGGCAGGAATTTTCAGGGTGATGTGTGTGAACGGCCTGATGGGCTATCCTCAGAGCAGGGTGCCTCATCCTGCCCAGGCACCACAAGAATACTAACAGAGGGCTCATTGTTTTAATGTTCAACAGAACTGTGGGAAGTCCAAAGGATCCTCTTCAATTTGAGCCATTTTCTCTCAGTCAAAACCTTTTGTCAACTTTTTTTAATTGTTTATTTCATTATTTTCTATTGATCTAAAACTATTTTGTAACACAAGACTTCAAAAGTAGTTCAGAGAAGTGAAGGCTGAAGATGATACTTTTATCAAACAATGAGGAAGTATTTCACCTTGGAGACTGCGCACTGCTGAGCAGAAAATCAGGCGCATGTTTTTTTTTATTACTTTTTTTATTTATTTTTTGGCTGGTTAGTGTTAAAATCTCTTTCTTCCGGCTTTGAATTATGGATCAGCTTTAAAATGCAGATAAAACTTTTATTGGGTGGTACAGAAGAGAGGAGTCGTGGTCTGTGTCTGACCAGCCCGCTGACAAAAGAGGCTGTTTCCTGCATATTGCATGGCTTTTAACAGCAGTGAGGCTGGGGTCTGCCTGTTAACATGTCTCCTCACATTGCACTTCCGACGGCAGACAGACAGCTCGGAGGTGCCATGGCACTACATAAACCCCAGAAGCCTGGACAGACCTAACAAGTTGTGACATCCCCCTGTTAGACAACTGAGGCCCGTTAGGACAATACCAGCCCAACGCAGGAAGAACTGCCCGGAAGCAAGTGATCAAACTGCACAAACTTATTTTTTTGTTGTTTTCCTAGGCCAACTTCAAACATTTTTGATTGACTCCTAGAAGGAGGAGACGGCAAAACTGTGTTGCACAGTTTTCAGCCCATTTATCTTTCACCTTTTGAGATTCCTGCCTCTTCTAAACGACACAAAGTAGGGCAGAAAACATCAACGAGTGACTAAATAAATGATAAGAGAAAAACAAGCAGAGCCATGGTTGCTCAGGGATGGACTGGGGTATTTGAGCCTTGGGGTCTTCGGATAAAAGGCACTTTGTAGGGGTGAGATTTGTTTTGTCCAATACTCACATCTCCCTCTCTCTTGGCTCTCTCCTCACTGCTCTAATCAAGCAGTCTCTAATTTGGGTTCCAAGTCCAGTACCGGGGAAAAAAGGAGGAGGCTTGTTACTTTGAAGAGTCCCGAGTGAATAACACAGATAAAAGATTCAGGCACAAAAAAAAAAGAAAAGAAGAAAAGCGAGGGAGGGTGAAAAGGGGGAAAATCACAAGGCGCCCTATTCTCTCGCCTTCCTTTTGGTTAGGACAGCTGAGCCATTATGACCAGGTCTGAATTGAGTTTTTTAGCACCAGAGGACTGGAATTTCTTTGTCTCTCTATCAGTCAGCTATTGTGGATCCTTCCATATGCTGCAAACCCATCTTTAGTAAATCAGGACTTTTCTAAATGCTGCAATTGTACCAAGCTGTATCTGCACACACTGCACATAGCTTGAATGCCATGCATGCTGAGGGTCTCTGTCTTTACTCTCCCCCAAAATGTGTAAGAACATAGACATGTGTGTCCACAAATGTGTGTGTGTGTGTGTGTGTGTGTGTGTGTGTGTGTGTGTGTGTGTGTGTGTGTGTGTGTGTGTGT